GTCTTCACTCAGGCTAACTTGGTGAGATGCTAGCTAGACAAAGCTGATACTGGGACTGTGTCCATCAACTTTGTAACCTTACGACTGTCACAGTTAACAGAGCGTCTCCACTCAGGCTAACTCAGTGGGAAGCTAGCTAGACAAAGCTGATACTGGAACTGTGTCCATCAACTTTGTAACCTTACGGCTGTCACAGTTAACAGAGCGTCCCCGCTCAGGCTAACTCAGGGGGAAGCTAGCTAAACAAAGCTGATACTGGGGCTGTGGCCATCAACTTTGTAGCATTATAACTATCACAGTTAGTAGAGTGTTCTCGCTCAGGCTAACTCAGTGAATGCTAGTTATACCAAATCAACATTGATGTTGTGCCCATTGATGCTTTTTACGCATTACGGCTGTCGCAGCTGGCAGTGTCCTCACTCAGGCTAACCTGGTGGGACACTAACTAGACTAAGTTAATACTGGGATTGTGTCCATTGATTTTGTAATATTACGGCTATCACAGTTAGCTGAGTGTCCTCGCTCAGGCTAACTGGTGGGACACCACTATTTACAAGCGACGGTCCTAGTGAGGAGTGTCCTCGCTCCCCTCTCACTGTAAGGACTGTTTTGTTGGTCTGTTTCCACAGTGGCAGAGTGCTCTCGCTCAGGCTAACTGGTGGGTCACCAATATCTGCAGCAAATATTGTAGTGAAGAGAGTGTCCTCGCTCCCCTATCACTGTAGGGACTGTTTTTTTGGCCTGTTCCACAGTGGCGGAGTGCTCTCGCTCAAGCTAACTGGTGGGACACCAATATCCGCAGCGACTGTCCAAGTGAAGAGTGTGTCCGAAAAGATCACTCTCCTCTGACTTCCCCCTGCCTGTTCTCTCAACATTCAGCAGAGCGCTCCCGCTCAGACTGATTTGGAATTCCGCATCAACTAGTGGGACAAGGGTTCCACCAGAATCTCGGCCATGTTAAACTCTCCCGGCTGTAGGACCTGTATAGCTCCTCTTCAGCCTGAGGACGGCCCTGACCTCTTGCCTTAGCCTCGAGCATCTGAGGGAGGGCCTCGCGGAGAACCCAGGCAACAACCCCCACAACCTCTCCCCTTTCCGAGGGGGCAGACGGTTGCCCTACATCCTTTCTCCGACTATTGGGTAAACTGACAGCTGCCTCAACTGTCGTTCCCTTGGGTTTGCAGATGGCTGAACAGCCTTCACTTGGATGCCAAGTTACACAGATACAGGGCAATAATATTATCAAAACAGTGCCTACTCACTCTATCCCCATGGAGGGAGAGGGCATATCTGGCAAACAGTGTCCCCATGGGCTCGGTTCCATTCCACCGGGAGATTGTCACAACAGATACCTGCTTCTCAAGGCGGGGTGCAGTGTGACAGAACAGACAGCTTGGGGGCAGTTGTCTGCTCAAAGACCGCAGGGGCAGGTCAAGGTTCTAGAGCTAGCGCTCAAGCACTTCCTTCCATATTTGAAGGGAAAGCATGTGCTTGTCCGGTTGGACAACACCTCTGCTGTGATTTCACATAAACTATCAATGGGGCACCAGATCTGCAGAAGTTGCTACGGGGATCACCGTGCTCTTCTGACTTGGGAGGCCCCTCGCCTGACCAGCCTGTGGGCAATGTACCCACCAGGAGAACGGAACCAGGTTGTGGTTTTCCTGTTCCGTCACAAGCCTCCACCGTGAGAGTGGCGGCTGCATCCAGACGTGTCGACCCACTGTCCCCACTGGGTCGCCCTGACGGAGAGGACCAGTCCTCTGGGTCAAGATGCCCTGGCTCACGCGTGGCCAGAGGATCTTCTTTATGCCTTTCCACCATTCCCTCTGATTTTGCTAAACGCTTGTCAGAGTCCTTCCCCGACAGGAGGGATCTAGAGGGCGGATTTGGCAATCCAATCCCTGCCGCCTTCAACTATGGGTCACGGGAGGGCCCGACCGGATGCTGAGTGGCTGCATAGAACCAGTCAGACTGACTATTCTGAATGCCAGCGCGATCTACCTGCCTGCAGTACAAAAACAGGTGGAAGCTGTTCTCTGACTGGTGTGCGGCTCAGAACAGGGTCCCAGTACAGCACCCCGTGCCTGCTGTACTGAGTTTCTACAGTCCCTCCTAGGTAAGGGCCGGTCTCCCCTGCATGGGACCTACTCTTGGTACTGGACACCTTATGCTTGTCTCCTTTTGAACCCCTGGCACAGGCGGAGCCGAGATGGCTATCAGCCAAAACATTTTTTCTCCTTGCCATCAATTCAGCTCAATGTGGGGGCGGGCTGCATGCCCTGTCGGTGAAAGAATCATGTCTGAGGTGGAACTCAGATGGCTTGGGTGTCACTTTGTGGCCTAATGCAGTGTTTCTCCCAAGGGTGTTTATACGTTCACATATCAACCAGCCTATCCAGCTGGCAAAGTTGACCCCCCCATCGGGAGAGGAGAGGTCAAGGCTGCTGTGCCCAGTGTGGGCCCTCAGAGCTTATGTGGAAGCCATCGCCTGCATACGGCAGTCGGAGCAGCTCTTTGTCAGTTATGGTGAGCCTAAGAAGGGCTGTGCTCCTTCAAAAAAGAAAACAGCGCCTATCCCACTGGATAGTGGAGGCCATTGCCTATACATACAAGGCGAGCGACTGCGCTCGGCCATCCGGGGTGAAGGGTCACTCTACCAAGAGTGTCTCCACGCCAAGGGCAGCCCTGAGAGGTGTGCCTGTGGAGGATATGTGTGCTACGGCCTCATGAGCATCACCGAGCACATTCACCAAACACTACAGAGTTAACGTTGCCACCCCTCACCCACTGGGGAGGGTTCTTTGGCCAATTTTCTCTGCCGGAGCTATACGAGGTAGTTACTGTGCTTCCTCGTGACTCTTTTGGTATAAGTCATCCAGTGTGAAGCACTGCCTCTGGCGGTCAGTAAGGATGAAATAGAACGAAAGTTACGAATGTAACTACGGTTCTATGAATCCTGGATGACCGCCAGAGTTCTTGGTCACTCGGAATCCCGTGAACTCGCGAGAAGATTCCATAGGACTGAACTCGGGATGACACCGGAACTTATGGACGACAGGGGTCATCCGAGGTCACAGGTGACTTTTTTGGTATGAATATTCGACCTGCGCATGCGCGAGACAGAAGATATCCAGTGTGAAGCACTGCCTCTGGCGGTCATCCAGGATTCATAGAACAGTAGTTACATTCGTAACTTTCGTTTTCGTTTTCGTTTCCGCTTCCGGGGATCTGTAACATAGTGACGTAGTGATGTAAAAAACAAAAGACAACAAAAAGCTTTTAGTTGACTTTCTATTCTGAACAAAGTATTAGAATCAGATGATGTATACAATAGTGACACTGACAATCGCTTGTTTGGATCAAACCAATATGATTTTTAAACTTTCTGCATGTAAGTTGAAGTAAGTAAAGAATTGATCATCGTATTTTTTTAAAAAGTAATTCAGGTGAACTTAAACTTCCAAGTTTAAATTGAAGACTGTCATTTTGGTGGAAATACATCATACTTTGGTCATTTTTGAGTCACAAAACGTGAAGGTGTTAAACACACATATATAATCTATGTAAACCTGTGTGTTGGTGGGCTTATTTTAAACTTATTTGCAGCCAAAAATGATTTTCGAGGGAGAGCTTGCAGGTATCAGAAATGCTGTTTTAACATCGTTCACCTGAAGGCTGAGCAAAGGGTTTCTTCTATTAACAGTATATGTTGGGCTATAAGTATATTTGGTACATCAACCTGTGTAATCCATTACAGAGGTACAGCCCTCACCTGGTTATACAAGGGCCGCATGGCTAAACCTTTTGACCCAGCTTCATACTATTGTGTCAGTGTGTTGCATTCAAAGGTTCCAAGATAACAAATACATAAACTAAGCGTATTCATTTTGTTTTGTTTCTTTTCTATTCATGGGCTCTGGTGAACTCCGACCACAGTGGTCATAACACCATCTGTCATATAAATAAGGGTACATGGTTGTAGTATTCTTCTCCTAGGCCATACAAAGACTTTCATTTGTTTGAATACGTTGTTGCTAACAGCCATCGCTTGGTGTTGCATCATCCCCGTGACAACACGGCGGTAATGATGCTACTTCATCAGCAGCCGGATTCAAGGGTTAACATCTGACTCCAGAGCAGCTGAGCCATAATAACACATGACACATGTCTGCCATTAGTAAGAATTCTCCCCATGGTTGCTACACTTTCTTTTAATTTGACTCGGCTGTAACCTCCATGTGTTTTCATCTACTAAAGAACCTCGAACAGCTTGAGCCTAATCAAAGAGTTTCTCTCCCTCCTCTGTGTCTCTGGAAAAGGAAATTCAATTAGCTTAATTGGCCTGGATATTATGCTCTGTAATGTGATGTAAGCATCAGTGTCGACAAACTTCACAGGGCACTTTGGAAGTACCTCGCTAATTAGAGCAATAACTTTAATCCAAATGTTTTACTTCGACATTCCGGATGATTCTAAATTGAAATCCAGGTAATTAGCTGAAACAACCCACGAGGAGATAGCTGCACCCCTTCTTGAAAGCTGCTGACGGCAACATTTGAAGCATTGGTTTATTCTCTTGTTCCATGTTTGACACCTGACAACCAAAGTACCAAAATAGAAAATCTACATCTGACAAGATGAAAGCCCATTGTGCTTTTAGAGCTGAACAAAGGATGGATTTGAAAAAGAATCTCATTTGAATGGGAAATTCAAACCCTGCAACCAACGTTCTTCTTTCTGAGGTTCTGTGAGCTCCACATCACCGGGACAAAACTGAAAAGGGCATTTTACAAGCTGCAGAGACAACAAACTGAGGAAATGATTGCACTTTAGATCAATCATATATCATAGGCTGCACCATGCTCTGCTGGTTAGGTTAATGGACAGAGAACAGGCTCTCTCTGGCGGCTGGTTTGCATCCAACACTGTGCCCTTGAGCTGGATGCTTAACCTCAGTGACTTCTAAATGGATATGAGAAGTATGAAAGTCTAAAAGTTCTTCAGATATAAATCTCAGCCTGACAAATATACAGGTCAGAAATAACAGTCGAAGAAAGAAAGACACCACTCACAATTAACACAATAAAACTGTATTACATTTGTGCTTAAAATTATTACAATTACAGTATTTACAAGCGTCCTAAAAATAAACATCTCATGCTGGATGACACATAAAAAGAAATCATTGTACAATAGCAAGCAAAAATGAATATTTCTTTTATGTACACCCACAATTTACAAATGAAAGAACTTTTTTTTTCCAGCTAAGAAATGGTGCTGAGCGCTGTTGCACACGCTCAGATGCTGATATTTACTACTGGACGTACTCCTCTGCAGCAGGGAGCCACCACGCCCTTAAGGGGACTGACCTGCCGCAGGGTGCAGTATCTGAACCCAAAGCCGTGTTGAAAATCACACTGCCGCCCTCAACATAAGCCAAATGTAGATTGAGAAATCCTCAATTGGATTCAAGTATCAGCATGTCAAACAATGCCGAATTTTGGACAACGGGCGATGTACTGAATGCTTATCAAATAAATAGTGTACAAAAAGTAACCAACCCCTACCATCCCCGACCAATCCCTAACAACCGCTACAACAACATGCCGCCATGGGCATTCCCCCACATTTCTGTTTGACCAGAGTGAAAGAAAAGTTTTTCATGAATAGAAAGACTGTCTCCAGCAAAAAATACACAGTCCTCCCTCAGAACGTAGCCGGGCTGCCCAAATACTGCTGAAAGTAGCTCTGACGGAATGCATTTCAGGAATGGAACAGTGACTCTTGTCAAGCCATGACAGTCTCGCAAAACCACGTGTTTGTCCACAGGCATCAGGTCTGGTCCATTACGTTTAAAGCCGCATTAATTGTGTATTTTGACCACTTGGGGGCAGTAGAGCTGAAAAGATTGCAAATACTGTAATCCTTTTGTTGCAACGTGTTTGTTGCCTCTTTACACATCCAGCAGACACAGAGCAACATTTGCATCTCCTTGGAGCGATCTTTGTGTACACCGGATGAATAGAAGTTTTAGCTCTGTTTTGGGCTCCACCAATTGCTGTGAAAAATATGTGGCTCTTTAGCTGCTAAATGCTCCAAGTAGTTGCTAACCTTGACTGCCGTTTGTTGCTGAGCAGGCGAGATGACATAAAGCTCAGGAGAGGTGAAAGTTGTGAGGATTTTTTGGGGCCCAATCAAAAAACTCCCTTTTCTGTGCTTGTACACATACCTGTGTGGGCGGTGACGTGGGTCGTCTTCTAATCGGAAATTTTTCTTGCAAGCCAATCAGAGCAGACTGGATTTTTCTCGGGAGGGGGCCTTAAGGAGACAGGCACTACAAACGGAGCATTTCAGATAGAGGGTGAAGACAGGTATATTCAGATAAACATTATGAGAACAATAATGTGGTTTTTGAACAGTAACACATGTAAACATGTTTTAGTAGTAACCCAGAATAAAAGTATGAACCTGAAAATGAGCATGATATACCCCCTTTAATGTCCTCAAAAGCTGCCGACTTTGATCAGGAAAAGTGTTTTCACTAACAATCAAAACAGCCAAAAACACGTTAACGTTGTGCTACCAGAAAGGTATGTGACACTAGTCTTCAAGGATCAATTGTCTTCTAGTGACATGATGGTCTCAAATATATGCATGTAGTGATTGTGAGAGATTCCATCCATCCAGAGAAACACACACATTTTGTCTCAAACAGATTTGTTTTGCCCAGGAGCCAACACAGCTGTGCGATCTGGAAGCATGGCGATACTATTTGATATTTGTGATCAATTTTGGAATCTTAAGGTTCTGTAAAGACTACATGGACCAGACCGAGCCTTGCAAGACTGCGAGACAGAGAAGTCCTCAACGCGCACGCACGCACGCATGCACGCACGCGGGCCCACGCATGCACGCACGCGGGCCCCCACACACACACACACACACACACACACACACACACACACACACACACACACAGCAAGAAATTAGTCATCAGCGTTAGTTTTGCCGCTCTTTCGCTTACATTCACTGTGTTTTAAATCTGATATCATACAGTAAAAAGGTTGTTACCTCAAAATTACATTGACAATACCTCAGTGTATTTTAGATTCAAGTAGAAGTTGTCTGTCCTTTTCAGATAAGAAGACACAAAACTGCTTTTGGGTGGGTTAATATATATCTTGTTTTTGCTTTCCAACAGCCGGGATCAGCCGTTGGTTAGAAATTGCTCTGAGGCCGGTGTCTGCTGGCCAGAAGGAAAGAGGCAGGATCCGTCATAAACAAAGAAATGGCCAAACTATTTTTTTTTTCACACTTGTAGTTTGTTGTAGGCTCCCCGGGCCTTTCCTGCCACATGTCTCTATGGCTATTCTGTACAGCAGAGTGTGTCCCCTCCCCTCCCGGGGAAGCTTGCTTAGTTATGTACATGTGGGGGACAGGAGCTGGACAGGAGGCGATAGTGCTTTTTGTTGTGTGATTGCAAGCTCTCCTTCAGGTCTCTCTCTTGCTCCCACTCCTCCTCCTCCTCCTCCTCCTCCTCTTCCTTGTTGTTGGCCTACGAGGGTCAGCGGACCTGGGGAGAGTAGCCCTCCTTCATCAGCCCCTCCTCGTAGTCGGTCTGGCACAGGATCATGTTGTTCTTCAGGAAAAACTTGTCTCCCACACAAAACCTACGCAACACAAAGAGACAAAGCGGGGGGGGGGGGGGGGTTACAATTTACATAAGCATCAAAGCAAGAATCTCATCATTAGCACGGAGCTGTAGGCTAGCAGGCATAGCCAGCTGCTAGCTTCCTGACTATTGTGCAAAATCTCTACTTAAGCGAGCATAACCTCGGTGCCAGCACCCCCCCTTCAGCTACAGCCGTATGCAGGCAAGGTTCTCCTCCAGGAAACAGTCAACTCAATTACAAGGGGGCGAAATGCAGGGTTTGTGACGGGGGGGGAATTATCTCTGTTCCAAGCCGGGGTTCCTTTCCACCTGCAGCTCTTACAGAAACCCCTACCGACCTCAGCAGCCGCCAGTCCTGCTCCAGCCGGGGGGGTTGTGTACAGTTACGCTTGACCTTTCAGCGCAGTGCCAAGTGGAGATTATGTTGAACGCGTAAGAGCAGTAACTCTCCCTGTATTGTCCTGAGGGCTGCTTATCTCCCTCACTGTGCAGGTTAGACAAGGTCGGCAAGCAGCGGTGCCAGTGTTTACCGGGGGGTGGTGGAGCCGGGGGTTGGGGGGGGGGGACAGCGAGCCTCGCCCCCGTTTGACTTCCTTGGATGTTGAGACTGCCGAGTTCAGGGCTGGGAGCTGCACACACAGAGATGGAGGTACCTGATGAGCAGCATTTATTCAGGGCTGCAGGGCAGATCGAGAGCATGATTTGTTGCATCCATTCGGGACCAATTAGCAGGATTCAAATACACTGTAGGTGTTGGCACAAAGTACCAAAAAGTGTGAGTGAATGTGAAGTGTTTCTGCAAATGAATTCCAAATGCTCTGAGGAAGAGCTGACATGAATCATGTGAAGTTGCACACACTGACGCAGCTCCTTGAATTTAGTATTTCAGCGACATATGACATGAGCGTTACAGTGGGACTGTCACCCACACAGTACAGTAGGTCACTCCCAGCTAATTCACAGCACTATAGGAAATGAATCAAGGGCCTTGTTGACTCCTTCTCAGAAGCTTTGTACACAAAACTCCTTGAAACAACCTAAATGTCATGAAGTACTTTGAAAGCTGTGGCCACATACATCAGAGACATGCACTTGAAAGTTTGATTCCTTATCGATACTACTTATTGATTCGATTCCTTATCGATACTA